AAATATTTAAAAAAAATTTATGATATCACAGTTTGGTCTTGGCACATAGCGAAATCAGCTAAAACTGATTGGCAAACTTTCTCCCTGCGCCTAGCTTTCTCTGTGCAGGGTGGGGCTATGCCTGGTGCTGGGAGAGAACAGACATCAGTGCTCTGAGCAGCGGTGGAGTCTACTTACTGATGCGGACCTGCTGGGGGTGCAGTCATGGCACTATTGCTATGACAGTAACCAGCCAGTCACTTCACAGGATAGAATTCATGCCTGGTGCTTTAAATCTGGTCCTAAGCCCAGATACTAGGTCATAAAAGCCCATGAGAAAACATGCTACCATCATTTTTCTAAGTGGACACATTGTCAAACTGACTCCTAAATGTCTATGTCCATGGATCCGTGCTGCTTCCCATGCTGGCCAGAGAATCTTCTCTTGCACGGGGAGTGGTTAATGCAAAGGCAGCCTCGTTACTCATCAAAGGGTTGGGAGCAAGTGTTGAATGTTTGGCCCCAGAATGAGACATCACACACACACACACACACACACACACACACACACACACACACACACACCTCTACCTCACTGCTTAGGGGGCATGGTGTAAAATGACAGAGGCTGGAAACCTTCCTTCTGGACAGGACAAGGCCATTGCGCTGAGGAAAGCCCAGCAGCTGAGGTTACCTCCACTAAAGCTTCTCCAGGTGGAGCCTTCCATGTCCCAGCATGCACGGGACTAGCTCTCCAGTCCACTCCTAGCTGAGCAGCTATTGGTAATCAACTGTTCCATGGGGGAGGGAGTCATTTTTCCTTAGGGTGTCCAGACTGGAGAGTTGTCCAGGATCCAAGAGGACCCCAAAACACGCACATGCAGAGACCCTGATTAGATTCAGTGAGCGGCTTGTTCAAAAAGAGATAATGGGGCAGGGGACAAGACCCTTGCCACCAAACCTGACACAATTTAATCCTGGGACCCCACATGGTGGAAGCTGAGTTCCTGCAAGTTATCCTGAACTCAGCAGAGCCTCTAGCATTCTCTCTGTCTGTCTCTGTGTCTCTGTCTCTCTCACATACAGAGTAAATAAACATAGATTTTCAAAACATAAAGGTGGGGAAGAGGCTTTGGGAACGGGACTTCTGGAAGGAGCTGGAGGAGGATGCAAGAGGTCAGCGAGGAGTAAATATGATTGAGATACATTACAGACATAGAGAGCAATGTCAGAGAAGAAGTTTTAAAATCACAGCCACATGAATCAAAAGTCTTCAATCCCAGCCCTCAGGAGGCAGAAGCCGGTGGATCTTTGTAAGTTCTAG